CAAAAATTGTCACAAGGCTTAAACCTGCAGCAAAATTCAGCTTTTAAACCTCCAATATGCTTTTAAACCATCCTTCACTAAATAATCTGGGAACTTCTCATTGGAAAACACTTTTGATACATTTTTAAATAGCAATTATTATTGAAATGGTAAATTTGTTTAGTATGGATAATAATGTTTAGGATATAGGCTATAAGTAAATATTATGATATTATATTTTGAATTGAGAACTACAGCTCTATCTGATATTAAAAATATTCTTGAATTTATGAACTAAAATTGATGACAAATAATAATAACAATCGAACACAATGAGAGTAAAATAACGAATCAGGAAAATTAAGTAAAATTGAAAAACAAATGAAAAAATTCCCCAAGGGGAAAGAATAATGTAATGAAAATATTGATACTATCAATTTTATATTTTTCTCTAGATGTTTAATAAGCTTTTCTATTGATACATAAGAGTGAATCAGAAAAGTGCCGCATAGTGCAATTATGCCTATATCCTAATGAATGTCAACTTATTTTAGTCAATGAAACTCAACCTAATGAAACTCAACTTATTTTAGTCAAGGGTAGTAAATGCAAGCATGAAAATGATTATTTCTCAAATTATTACGGTCAATTATTCGCTATTCAGATCAATATCATTCCGCATTGTGGTTATATTTGATATGAATACATTGCATATTCCTCAAAAACGTAAAGGGAAAGCCTTGCGTCATCGTTTGCAAACATTCTTTTTTCCCTCAAAGATTACCCAGGAGGGTGTGCATTCTACGGCCGATGGACGGCCACGTGACCAAAACTCCATGCGCCCTCAATGTGTCCTCATCATATACAATGCATTATTTCCTCCATCATCCACATCTATATTCTGTAGAACTTTTTTTTTCTTCCCTCCTAAAACACACGCCTTCCAAATCATTGTTCGCGCCATTCACGCTACGATGATCGCGATAACTATCGGGTTCAACCCCCCCCCCTCACCTTTCGTACAACCACCCTTATCGAAAAATTGTTTCTGGTACGCTTTGTCCATCTGTTTATTCATTTCAAAAAGGATTTTCTACCTTCGATTATAACACGCTTGAACGGGTGTTTGTAGAACTCGATAACTGTAAAGCTGTTCATGTAAAGATGGGAAATCTTTTAGCACTTTCAGGTGTTGCTTTAATCTTCTCAAGGAACTTTGTTGTCTTCTTTCTTTAAACATCATTGTTTAGTTATCTTTTTTTATCAGTAAAGAAAATAAAACAATGTTTCTTTAAATATTTCATATTTTAATTACTTAAACCCTGCTGTAGTTTGTATAAACTTTTTATAATTAGATACATTAAAAGTTAGTTTTTCTTCGCATATTCATAATGTACTCAAAACTAATTATTCCTACAGTACAGTAGTGTGAATTAAAACATTATATGCTAGAATATAACATTTAATTACCCATTCAAGTATATTGTTTACAGATAGTTTCGCAATACAATATCGGTTTTAATATATCGAATTGTTGCTCTTATCATGTGGTTTATAGTTTCCACCATTTTCGGTTTTGAGTTAAACTAAATGCATTTTTATGTACAGAACTGCATTCATAGTTTTCAAAAGTTTTTATAAAATTGAGAAAATAATAATTATTTGAAAGAATTAGTTCGAATGTATTGCAAAAAATGTGCCTGTTTTTCAAACGAAATGTTTTTGCAATGAATCATTTAAATTGGTTTTAACGTGCATGAAAGTGTAAGTTTACAGTAGACAAACAAAAAAGAAAATGAAAAAAAAAAAAACCTAAATAAGACTATGACAAAATAAAAGTAAATAAAAATGTGACTACATGCACCAAAAATGGCATTAAATTAATCACCTCTACACCAATATGCAGTGAAAGAACTCTTTCCTATGAAAATCTGAAAATGTGAGAAGTCTGGAAAATTCATTTTTCAAAGGCCTCAGATGGTCAGTTCAAAATTTTATTTTCGTTCCATCATCAACAAAATTGTAAGTAACCACACATCATATTATCATGTAATTTTCATCTCTATATTTCATGCTATAAAATCTACATTACATCATAGATGTCCAGTCACAATCAAGATTCCTTGTCAACCGCATCTAAACAGAAATCACCGCCAGGTTTTATACTTAAATTCATCATACTTAGTTTTATTTTAGGTTTTCGTTGAGTTCTTCGGTGCTTAGAAATTTGTCATTTATTAATAAATTTAATTATTTATTTTACTCATATTTTTCATGTTGGTTATGGTTTTATTTGGTTATTGGCGTGGCTGTAACGCGAATAAAGAAACGATCACTAATCACTTATTGAGCAAGTGACCTTTCATATAAATAGGATTCAGTCAGCAAAGACCTGTAGTCGTTTCGATCTGCTATCCAATGACAAGTCAGTTATTTGTTCATAATACATTAATGTTTCAGGGTGTATTACTCAAGACAAGACAATAAAACCAAATAAAACTACTAATTAAGATAACACCAATTAAAGTAACGCCAATTGAATAGCGTATAATGGCTTTCATTAAGAACGTTTCTTAAAAAACGGAAATATTAAAATAGTTTAATCTGAATTCTAACTTAGAATACAAAATAGTTAGCGCCATACTGCATACAATTAAACTTAGTCTAACATTTTTACAATTAAAAAGTTGTGAACGCAGTGATTGTAAGGCATCTTGCAGTGACAATTCCAAATATATTATTTAAATATAAATTTTACCGTAGAGCAACAAAGAAATTGCACAACCTATTTTTATTGCGACGCAGACCAGTATTTTTATTAAGACGCTGAAAAGTACTCACAACTTAAATATGTCCCTTAATGCCCATTATTTTTTTGGTTTACGTCAATTGTAAAACCTAGTTAAATTATCAAGTTAACTGTTTTTAACCGCATTCATATCAATCAATAAAAAAGTGCTCAAATATTAAAATAGTTTTAATAATATTCAAACGAAAAATATAAAATAGCTAGCACCATGCTGCATACTATTGTACTTAGTCTATGATAGACGATTAAAAGGTTTGAAGGATATATTATTTAAGGATATATTATTTAATTACAAATCTTAACACCTAGCAATGAAAAAGTTGCACTAATCAATGTACTTAATAAGACATTGAAAGGTACAAGCAACTTTAAAATGCCCCTAAAAGTCAATATAAATGTCAATATTTTTAGACCGAATTACAAAACTTAACTAACATATCAAGTTTACAGTTTCAAACCGAACTGATATCAATAAGAACTTTAACATTTAGCTAGAAATGGAAAACACCTGCAAGAAAACATTCAACCTGCCTTAATCTTATAAAAGTTTCTTTTAGTCTAATAAAAGGTTGATTATTTGCAACATTTTTTCCCCGACACCATTCCAGGAGAATCACTCTGAAAGTAACATAGTATTGGTATTACTAATCTATCGAAAGTCGGCGAAATATCGGTTGTTTGGGGTACAGACTGTCGCCAAGTAAAGCATGATAATCTTGAGAAGTACCATGCCCGAAAAAATAAAGGCAGATAGGACACAGAACTGAAAGATTTCTACGACTCACATGGCGCCAGGGCTATCTTTTCCCTCAAAGTGGTGGTCCAAATCGGAAAGCGCCCTCGGTCATAGCCTGAGATCTTTTATTGTGCAATTACGACAAGGTCGGCGCCTTGCACCAGTTTAGGTGATGCTTAACAATAAGGTGCCGAAAAATCTCAAAGGTGTTTCTTCGCTTTTAATTTACCAAGGCAAATTTTTTTAGGAATTTCCGTTAGCAGTTTGGAATTTAGAAAACTTTATCTTGTTTTCGAAAATAAAATAAAGTAGAAAGTCATGAAAGTTGAATTATTTTACAAGACAAAAATCAGTATCGAGATTACAGTGCTTCCAAATAAAAAAGAACATATTTATAAGTATGAGGAAATTTCTAATGAAATGCCAATATGGGAGTTATGGAAATTTAAGATGACTTTGTAATTTTACAACCTTTTCCTCGTTTACCGAATTCTTGTAGAAAATTTCCGGAATTCTTGTAGAATCCTTCTGTTAATCCAGAAAGGAATCTTGAATGCATGAAGTCTTTAAATAATAATAATAATAGTTTGTCCATTTATTAAACCTACTCTTTTAAATGTTTCACTTATCTTCGAATTCTTCTTATTCTCATAGTCTTATTAATTCTGTTCTGAAATTAAATACTGAAACGGTCAACGAAAAAAAAAAAATTCGTGGCCAACTAATGAATGTTCGAAAAGGATGTAGAAACTACGTAAGAGAAAATGGTATTCTGGAGCAAAATTTTTCAAAGGAAAAAAAATTATATTAATGGATAATTAATCACATTGTAATGTCCTGCATTGAGAATGCGTAATGGATAACAAGTAGTAGGAAAATTATTAGTTCGATTTGAAGTCCTTTCCTTGTATTTTTTCAGAACTTAAGTGAGAGGGAACAAAAAAAAATCACATGAAATGTACACCATGCATAAAAATCGAGAGAGATTTGAAATTATAAAATGTAAGTACATTGTAAAAAATTACCAAAAAAAGTACAGTCATTCAGAGTAACATGCATTTTTCAATGAAATGTATTTTTACTTAAGCTTTTATACCGTAATTTTTACTGTAACATTTATTTTATTACAGTGATTCAGTTATTTTACAGTAAATATTGCTGTAAAATTGACGATGTATCAGATTTTTTTTGCTCCATAGAATTTTGTGGTAAAAAACACCGCCACATAAAGGGCCGGGATTTTTTACAGTGTAATAAAATTTTGAAATGAGCATTCGAAAAATTAAAGAAAATATTAAAATAAATATTTTATTAAATTAAAATACCAAAGAAAAAGAGATATATATATATTATTTCAGCTAAAATTTCACCAATTATTCATTATTTTTTTTTTTTTTTTTTTTTGCAATTTATGGATGGTATTATATATTTTACATACTAATTGAAACTTTTTTTCTTTTTTGTATGAAATCTCACCTGACTTACTATCTGCTGGAAATGTGGTGCTGTCGGGTCGATGTCTGGCTGCATTGCGGCGTATTCCGTTAGAGCCTTCCAAGGCGGTTGGTATGTCTGGACTTCGATTGGATTCATCTGTATAGGACTTTCGTGCCTGACTGGACTAGTGGCAACCATCGGAACTCCTCGCATAGACCCCAGAGTTAACTGTCGCCCATCCTAAAAATTATAAATATTATATTTAATTAACGAATTCCAGCAGTATTTTTTTTGTCTGCAAAATAGACGATGACATAAAGGTTGAAATTAATTACCTAAAATTTCAAAACAACTTGATGTAATTTTGGTTTCATATATAATACACAGAATTTTAGATTTTTTGTTATATGTACACCGAAGAGCCATTACATTATGACCACCCTGCTAATAACATGAAGGATCACCTTTAGCCCTCAAAACTGCCAGCACCCGCTGTGGCATTGATTCCACAAGGTGCTGATAGGTAGTCTGAGGTATCTGGAACCAAGCGCTCACCAACTGGTCCTGCAATTCCCTCACATTGCGAGGGGGTAGCGTGGCAGCACGAATTTGGTTTTCCAAGTAGGACCACAAACGCTCTATCGGATTAAGGTCAGGTGAATTTGGGGGCCAAGACGTGACTTGAAAGTCACNTGCTAGTGCAAAGTCATTTTAAAATGCTAACAGCACTGCAATTTATTAATTTTTTTAAGAAAAAGTTCTTTTAGTATTATAGTATTAGATCTTGGAGCAAGGGACAGTGAACTCTCCTATTTCGTGAGAATCACCCCGCCCCCCCCCACACACACATATATATATATATATATATATATATATATGAACCAGAAAGAACCTTGTATTATAAAACCTCTGTATGCGCCGATGAATATGCATGAAACATAAATAATTTCTAATTAAAGAAACTCACAGGTTTAAAAATATTAAAAGCTTATGATTTATAAATTTCTGTTTTAATCCATTCAAAAGAGCTTTTTGAATCTGATTTAATGTAAGAATCAGTATGGAGCTTGATTTGAAAACAAAATATAATTCATTTTTCTTGTACTGAAAAGTGAATTTTCAATATTTCAAATGAAAGTAAATTAAGTAGTTTGCAACTTTTTTTTTATCCATAAAGCACTAAGGCTTGAAAAGAAACGTAATGTATTTTCCATTAAGTAATCTTACAGAATAAATCAATCTTTCACGCTATTGTCATTAAAAGTTAGTTTTCTTTCTTAATGTCTGTGACATGAATATTCTCATGCCATCGATTCTTATTGAAGAAAAGAAGAAAGAAAAAAGTTTTGCTTTGTATCTGATTTTAGTCTTGAGATCAATCATGTCTTTGACTCAACCGATAGCATAAATGAAACATAATGAAAATATAGGTGTCATTTTTCTACCTTAAGTGATGAAATAGCTTCTGCTTGATATGTTCATTGTATAATGCAATACAAAGTCCTTATATAGCTAACGGATCATATAAAGGTAAGAGTATATTGCCTTTGACTTCAAAGAAAAGTTTTTAAAAAAAATAAAACAGAAAAAAATTTTTTGAAAATCCATTAGTATAAAACGTCTTTTATATATTATTTGTAAGAAAAACAATTGTAACTGTTTTCTGTATTTAGTAAGAATAAGTTTTAGAAAAAAAAATACTAGATTAAAGCAGTAGAAATTAAAGTAAAATTTGAAAAAAAAAATCACAAATAGGAAATCAAATTGATAGTTAATAGCTAAATAACGTGAGAAAAACTGCCTCAATTAATCAAAGAAAAAAAAATTTGAAAAAAGAAATCATATTTTAAAAGTTTTACTAATTACGTGTTTTTTTCATCTTTTATTTATGGTTTCATCGCTTATTAATAGTAAGTAATTTTTATATCTTCACATTTACACATTGGCTGCTATAAACATGTGTAATAACGCTTTATAAAAATTTTTATGATCTTTATAAAAATTTATTACTCTGAGAAAAAGAATTTTGTCAAAGCAACCAGAATATGGTAAAATTTACATCATTTCAGGCTCAATGAGAACACCAAACAGCTCGGTAATTTTAATTAAAGCCATTTGATAAAGAATTTGGTAAAATTAAAGAAAAAAATATAATTTTATAATATATAGTAAATTTTGGTGAATGTGGTAAAATTTTGTAATTTTATCACACGATACCTTAGAGCATGCCATAGAAACCATTTAATCGATTAAATTCACTTTTAAGTTATGTATTTTTTGCTAAATGTGTGGTAATAAAATCTATAATTTTGAAAAACAGAATTTCCGGTTAAACCCTTACCATGCAAATGGAAAATTTGTCAGGTGAATTGTATAAATGTCGAATATTTTATTTTTTATTACGGGAATTATTGTATTTTTTTTTTTTACCAGAAATGTCATTACTATACAGTACGGTTATACTTTCAAACAATTTTTCTCCGTGTATGCAAACATTTAACTTAAACGCTTATGTACTTAAAATTATACTTATTCGACCAATTGTTCTTTATGGATCAGAGAAATGGACTTTAAATAAAAACGAATCATATGTTTTAAAAATATGGGAAAGGAAAATTTTACTGAGGATTTCTGGCTCAATTTTTGAGGATGGACTTTTAAGGGTCAGAACTAATAAAGACATTAATGATAAATTTAAGGAACCAGATATGGTAGCAACTATAAAAATAAAATGATGTAACTATTTGGAGCTATTCAAAAAATGGACACCGAAAAGCATTAAAATATTAATAGGCAGGAAATCAGGAGTGTCTAGATCCGGAGGCAGACCTAGCACTAGATGGGAGGAAGAAATAGAAGAGGAACTGAAATTACTTAACAATTATCAACTGCAAAAGAGTTGTGGCCAGCAAAAAGAATGACTCAAAATCATACAGGAAAAGAAAGACTGAGGCTGTGGCGATGGGATGATGATGATGATAAAATACGTATTATGATCCGAGAGTTTGTTTTATAATTCACCATCAACAAACATAATTTTTCTCATATGAGCAAAACTTTCTTAACTGGAATGCGAGAAATCATAAGTTACAATTATTTTATAAAACTATAATCTATTTTAAGATAATTTTGTTGAATTATGATTTTGTGTCAATATCTTGAATATGCTTTTATAAGTTTATTCATAGCTTGAAATAATTTTTTTATAACCCATTTCCAGTAAATATATAAGAATTTTTTTGCACTTATTAAAAAAAATTGCATTACAAGAACTACTGATGGAAATAGATCAAAAATTTCAATTATTATGTGCAGGGTACAAAATTTTAAGAAAATTTTAAGAACACCAAAACTTATGGTAACTTACTTTATACCGAAGAGATGCAATGAAACGCCATACATAACTTGGAATTTAGTTGGACAGCAATGGATTTNCGCAGGTATTAGTCTCATACAACAACGCCCCCTATAGTTCGTTGCGATCGCGAATTGTTTTTCTTTACATATTTTTGAATCAAAATTTAAAGTTATTTGCCAGTACTGTTATCATTAGCGAAAATATTAAATTATGGTTGCGAACTCGTCAAATTTGTTTGTGCATTATAATGTTATAAGAATATAAATGTTATTTTAAAGAATGATTACTTCGAAAAATCACTTCTGTTCTCCAAGAGATCTAAATGTTTTTAATACTAATAGATAGTAATATTTGGACGTGAGAAGTAGAGGCACAAGTATCAGCAAACAGAATTCCTTTTAGTATATATATGTTAAGGGAATAATTTTAACTTCAGTAGAAAAACTGTTTTCTGCCAAGAAAAGACAATTTCACAAAAATTTTAGGACTTATACCTTTTGGCAGCTGAAAAAGATAAGAAATATATATAGTCTACTAGTATAAACGAACTTTTATTTTTCACAATCATCACTAGATACAGTGACTAATAGAAAATAAACTGTTGGATTATTTCAAAAATTGTTTTTTACTTTAAAACTAGAGTGGCACTTTTCTTTGTTTTGGGAAATGAAAATAAAATAAATAAATAAAAAAAAACTAAAAATACCACATTTTAAAAAAATACTACGAAAAAACCATTTTTTGGTGAAAAAATACTACCGTAGTATTAAAAATACTACGTCTGGCAACCCTGATTACTGTGAATTTCTTGTTTTTCAGTGTTACCAACAAATATCGAAAGAAGAAGAATAATTTAATTTTTATTTCAAAGTTTATGTAAAAAAATACTGATAAAAGGTGGACTTATTCACAATTGCTTCTGAAATTATTATACAATATATTCAGAAGCTGATAAAAAAAGGGCTGCCTAACCTAGAAAAAAGTAACCAACGAGTAAATCCTTTAAAAACTAAGAAGATTATTATTTATTTCATCAAAATTTCCAAAAATCAGAAAATATCAAAAAATGGACTTAACCGCATTGGCTTCTGAGCGGCTCATATAATAATAATAATAATAATAATAGAAATAATAATATCTAGTGAGCATCGGAAACCTTTCAAGTAGCCAGAGGTGCTTTGCAATTAATCAATGTAAACATGGCGCATAACCAGAATAATCCAGTATAATCAGCTTATTGATAAATATTCAGTATAGTAATGACCAGCGATTACAGAATACATAAATATTATGTATAATTAAAAAACAATTTCAAAAAAATAAAAAATCTGACTAATTCAAAATCACTCCTCTTGACATTTTTATTTCAAACCATTGTAAAAAAAAATAATGTGGTTAACGGTAACCCTTTAATGCTATTAAATATTCTGACAGGCAATTAATCTTGAAAAAAGTTTTCCAGCGAAACTATTTACAACCCTTACCAATCTCTAATATAACTTCAAAATGTGAAAATCACATTAAAAATAAATCCAAAAATTTTTCAGCGTTTAATGAAGACTATCTTAAAAATCATTATCTTATGCCTCATAACACAATTCTTTATTCCCTTAACTCAAAACTTTTGAAACTTCTTTCCCTATTTGCAAACCAGACATTTTTAATTTGTTATCATGATAAAAAAAAAATTCTTATAAAATCTGGTTCTGAATCTTGTTTAGGGAAAAATTAATTAACAAGCTAAGCAAAGTAAATGCACTTACGTAATTTCTGAAGTTGTTGCTTGTTAAAGGGAGTAAAGGCTTTCAAATCTCTAAGGTAAAAGTGAAAGTTTATGGTTACAGGTATGGCCTACCCTTCTGTGTTTAAGAAAGAGGAAAATTATCACACAAGAAAAAATAAATAAAAAGATTATTCCCCGCATTAGCTTAGAGCTCTGAAAATCCATTTTCTCCAATTAAACAAGTATTACATATCGTTGATTGAATTCATGCTTCGCAGTTTTTTTTACTAGGTGCAAGAAAGCATTAATTATCAAAATTGCCCAAGAGGATTATGATAAGAGCAAATAAGTAAGCTAAATGTAAATCAATTTACTTTTTATATACATTTTAGATAACATTTTGACATCATTTACGTTGCCTAAGGTGTCGTAAAATGATTATGATTGATTTTCAAATCATTGAAAATATCTTCTGTTTGGTTGTGTATTATACAGTAAAAATATACAATAAAATTAAATAATATAAAAAGAGTTTTAATTTTTTTTTAAAAAAAAGCATTGTACGGGGAAAATTACCGGAATAAAATTATCATACTGTATGGAAATGACATTGAAAAATCATCTAACCATATGTTAACTTTAAGTTTAGTGTACTAAATGATCCTAGTTGAAGAAAAATTACTATTTTAAAATAATAAGATTTAAAACAAATTAATGTTCCTTTTGAAAAAAAAATCTTTCAACTACACGTTAACAACTTTAAGATAAGCGTACTAAATGATCATAGTTAAAGAACTTGCAACAGTTTGGTAAAAACGTTATGCCCCTATTTCTTTTGCCAAGATTGGCGATGATCTAATATTGAAAACTAACGCCCCCAAAGTCACTGTTAAATAAGCTTATAGACCTATTAACGATCAATAAATGGGGTAGCTTAACGCCACCCTGGTAACAATTTTCCCGACTTTAGAGGGGAATATTAAATAGAAAGCTACACTAGGGTTTATACGTAGCATTCATTTTTACCGAGTAATCACATGGGACACTTTACTTTATCTTAAAGAGAGACTTCAAATTTGAACTATAGTAGAAAAATGACAGTATTGCCTTTTAAGAATACGAATGTACTAGATTTTTTTAGTTTTTGTTTATTTATTTTTAATTCTGCAAAATTTGTGATATTTTAAGTAAATTTGCGGTAGCCAAGAATATAAAAAAATGTTTTAATTTTTTCTTTATGTATTTGGTTGATATAATTTGTTATTTGGGTATTTGTTTGAAGAAAAAAATTTGCGTTCTTATCAAACTAATTTTTTTTTCTACTTTTTCATTTCTCCAATTCTTCCGATTATTAAAGTGTTGTTTACCTAAGAATAAGTTATTGTATTCACGGAGAAAAAAAAATCTAGTAAAATTACCATATTGTATGATAATGACAGTTCTGGTAAAACAACAAATTCTGATCAATTAAACTAAAATATACAGTATTTAAACCCTTTCATAACTCTAGTTTTTATTACCATACTTATAGTAAAAAATACAAAACCGAAAAGTAAATTTGACCGAATAAGTAGTTTTTATGCTATGCTTTAACGTATAAAAGTAAAAAATTATCAAGGAAAATTTATCAAACTTTATGACATATTATAAAACATCTTTTATTGTTAAGTTTATTGTTAGTTTTTCAGTCTAATTGTTAAGTTTATTCAGAAAGCAGTAAATTTTACCATATTTAGGTAGTTTTGACAATACATTTTTTTTTAGTGTAAGGAACAACATTTTATTTCTATTTATCGGTAAAGAACATGTTGACAAATTGTTTGCAACAAAAATGGTGCAAATAATATTTATCTTACCTAACGAAAAAAGCAAATAAATATAAAGTTTTGATATTCAGATGATGAAAGGAAAAATTAGAAATAATTCGGTTTTGGGAAAGGTAGAAGGTGGCTAAGAGAACACTTGGAGGCAATTTTCATGGCAATTTTGTCAGAAAACGCTTTTTCATACTTCTAAATATGATGTTTCTTCCTTTCCTTTCGTCTTTTAATTTTTCTTTNGTATAAAAGTAAAAAATTATCAAGGAAAATTTATCAAACTTTATGACATATTATAAAACATCTTTTATTGTTAAGTTTATTGTTAGTTTTTCAGTCTAATTGTTAAGTTTATTCAGAAAGCAGTAAATTTTACCATATTTAGGTAGTTTTGACAATACATTTTTTTTTAGTGTAAGGAACAACATTTTATTTCTATTTATCGGTAAAGAACATGTTGACAAATTGTTTGCAACAAAAATGGTGCAAATAATATTTATCTTACCTAACGAAAAAAGCAAATAAATATAAAGTTTTAATATTCAGATGATTAAAGGAAAAATTAGAAATAATTCGGTTTTGGGAAAGGTAGAAGGTGGCTAAGAGAATACTTGGAGGCAATTTTCATGGCAATTTTGTCAGAAAACACTTTTTCATACTTCTAAATATGATGTTTATTCCTTTCCTTTCGTCTTTTAATTTTTCTTTCATTTTAACCCTTTTTTTTGCTTACTTTTTCCTTTTTCTTAATCTTTTTTGCTCTCTCTTACTTTTTTTACAATATTTAAAATTCCTTTTTTTTTTTTTTTTTTTTTTTTTTTTTTTTTTTTTTTTTTTTTTTTTTTTTTTTTTTTTTTTTTGAGAAATTATGCATTGTACATTAAAGTCGATGGAAGTTTTAAATATATTTTTCATCATTCAAAAAAATCTGGTTTCGTGATAATAAAATTTCTATTGTCCTAAAAATAAAATTATCCACCATTTTACCTTATTTAAAAACATCCTCATAGTTAAAAATTGTTATTAAAGTTTAACAGATTGGAAAACAAGTTCATTTTGTCAAAATGTACATCATGGCGTGTATGCACAGTTTAGTAAAATGAAATATATTTTAATATTTATTTTTAAATGCCACAAGCTGTATATACTTTAATTCATTATAGAAACAAATATTTTATAAAACTACCTTCAACATTTGTAAAAAAAATGTTTTGACAATGAATGCTCAGTAAAAAAAAAAAAAAANAAAAAAAAAAAAAAAAAAAAAAAAAAAAAAAAAAAAAAAAAAAAAAAAAAAAAAAAAACTATTGCTACACGGAGAAGAAAATTCTGGTAAAATATCTGTACTGTACGATAATAACATTTTTGGTAAAAGAAAAATGTAATTCCAATTAATAAAAACAAAATTATACGGTATCTGAGCCAATCATTTTGTAATTTTTCCGTTCATATTATAACAGTTTACTGGAAATTCTAGATTTCAAAATTCTAACTTTTGTTACTACACCTTCTTTAAAAAATACAAAACTGAATTTAACCAAATGAATGGTTTTTATGACATGTTCTAAGGCAGGGGTTGCCAAACTTTTTTAATCATCGACCCCTACATAATTTTTCGAATTCTCCATCGACCCCCATAAAAGTAATTTTCNACAAAATTACCAAATTATGCCCATTTACGAAATTTATCGTTCATTATAAAATCATGTTTTAATGTTAATTTTACCAAAATCCCAGAAGCGCTTTAGTAAAAAGTATCGAGCTTTTTGGTGTTCTCATAGAACCAGAAACACGGTAAATTTTACAATATTTTGGTATTTTTAGCCATACTTTTTTCTCAGTGTAGTAACAGCTTTTTCACATTTTGTGCTTATAACATGGAATGAACCTAAAGCTTGCGAGCAAATTCACACATCATTAAACAAAGAAAATGAACAATCTGTCATCAAGAATTTTTTAATATTTCAAATTTTAAAACCCAGCTTAACATTTCGTTATTTTTTCAAATGTCTATGCATATTCGAGATCATATTTGGTTAATTTCTGACATTTTGACTATATAATAAGTAGAGACGTGATGGCTCAGAAGATAGAGCGTTCGCCTTCCAATGTCGTGAACCTGGTTCGAATTCCAGCTATGGCTGGTCGATCGATATGAATTCCGCATTCGGCTTGCACCAACTACAGGGCTGACGTAAAAATATCCTCAGTGGTTGACAGATCTTAGGTTAGAGTCCCCTTGCCATCAGGCTAACCGTGGGNATTTTACCAAAATCCCAGAAGCGCTTTAGTAAAAAGTATCGAGCTTTTTGGTGTTCTCATAGAACCAGAAACACGGTAAATTTTACAATATTTTGGTATTTTTAGCCATACTTTTTTCTCAGTGTAGTAACAGCTTTTTCACATTTTGTGCTTATAACATGGAATGAACCTAAAGCTTGCGAGCAAATTCACACATCATTAAACAAAGAAAATGAACAATCTGTCATCAAGAATTTTTTCATATTTTAAATTTTAAAACCCAGTTTAACATTTCGTTATTTTTTCAAATGTCTATGCATATTTGAGATCAAATTTGGTTAATTTCTGACATTTTGACTATATAATAAGTAGAGCCGTGATGACTCAGGGGATAGAGCGTTCGCCTTCCAATGTCGTGAACCTGGTTCGAATTCCAGCTATGGCTGCACCAACTACAGGGCTGACGTAAAAATATCCTCAGTGGTTGACGGATCTTAGGTTAGAGTCCCCTTGCCATCAGGCTAACCGTGGGAGGTTCTCGTGGTTTTCCTCTCCATGTAACGCAAATGCAGCTTAGTGTCATCGAAAAGTCCTCCACGAAAGCAAATATCTCCCAATACTTGACCCAGAAGTTTCTTTGTCTTCTGGATTGGTTTCAAAATTACAAGGCTACGGAGTAGCAGTAAACCCAAAAATTGGGTCGGCTGTTCAACGATGGTTATAAAATAAATCATATGATAAATTTAGTTTTCGTTTACATGATAAGCGAAAAAATACAATTTAGCATGAGGAAATAAAACTTAAAAATAATTTGTTTTAATATAAGTCTTTTTCTCATTTGCTAAATATTGTTTACAAAGAAATAATAAAACTGAAATGAAATGTTCAATAACTTAAAGAAAATAAAAAAGAAAAGCCCTACCGGGGAATGCTGGGACGAGGAGTCAGACTCTGACATGGAGATGATCATGAACTGTGAATGACAAAAATTTAAAGGATCAAAACTATGTCTGTGTATAATTTCTTTTTTTCAAAATTAAGTTATTCTGTAAAAAATCATACAAAATTGCCGAAAAAAATTACTGACATATTAGGCCATTAAATTCAAATACATTAGACTCTCTTTTAACCGGGTTTATTTTAACCAGTTTACTGTTTTAACTGGGAAATTAAAAGGCGAAAAATTATAACCGATTAAATTGCTAAGTTTTGAAATGAAATAAAATCCAATAATAAAAAGTGGTTTGTGAAACACAATGGAGTTATATGCAGCACATTTCTGGAAAAAAGAAAAGGACTCAAATTGAAATTGTGGTCCTTTGATTGTCCTTGAATTATGGTCATAGTTCGTCAGGTGAGTCATGATTTTCATCAACTTAAGAAAATTATAACTTGAAGTCATGATTTTCACAAGTCGATGCATTTTATTCAACTTTATTTTTCATTTATTTATTTATTTTTAATGTTACCATGTTCAATCTTTTTATCTGTTATTTTCATAATTATTTAAGTTATTCATTCAAATCTCCGTTTATTGGTCTCAATACAAAATTTATTTATTGATTGAAATGCTTTTCATTATTTTTTTCATATCTGAAATATTGTCAAGACCAGATTAAAGAGAGTCTATTGTAATAAATGCTTGCTCAAGATTAAATTGTGCTAAATTAATAAAACAAAAATGACAAAATTAATGAAACTGTATAAAAATATAAGCAAGAGAAATGGGCAAACCTCATATTAATATTTAGGTTATCATCGAGTTTTTTATAAGCAGAAATTAGGAATTAATGACCAAAATCTTATCAAAAATTATACTAAGTGCTAAAAAGCTTATTAAAAAAGAATATTTTAACATAAATAGGATATTATTATTTGATCAAACATTTCAAACTTTTGTGAAATTATCACATGTAAAATATGTTTCGATTTTCAAATTTTACGTTAAAATTAAATGATAACTGCGTTGCTTAAAATAAAACCAGAAAAGTAACAGTCGTTTATTTATTTATATAATTTCCTATTTATTAATTTAACTTCTTATTTTTATTTTTAATTTTCATATTTCGTTTTTCCATGCCTTAATTTTTTAGATAATTTAATTGGAAAATTGATATAAATTCAATAAAATTTAAGCAATTTATTGAATAATCATGTCATATAATGATGCAAAGAACAAAAACAACTCACAGCTATATCAGATATTTTTATTTCTGAGCAAGAAATTAAACTATCAAAGCATTTAGGACACAAAGTAAAGTGTAATGAATAAATAAAATAAAAGTATATTCATGTTTTGTAGCTATAAACACATTTTTATAACATTACACTGTAAAAAAGAATTTTTTTAAATTGAGCAAAAATATGTCAAAATAGCTCTAAAAAAATACTTTCGAATTTGAAAACCCTATGTATTTAAAATTCAATCAGAATAAGCTCGTTTTTTAACAAAATGAGTGTGAGAGAAAAAGAGTTGAAAGTGTGAGCGAGATGTTCGTTGGTTGCCGACAGGGTTCGAACTAACGACTTCCGGGTCCGTAATAGAATGCTGTAACCATGGTCAATGACACATACTAATTTCTGATTTCAATGGCACATAGGGTTGTAATTTGGAAAATATGGTCAAAATAGCTTCGTCAAGAGATTTTTTTTAATTTCATTTTTGTTTATTTCGCTATATTTTAAAATTTTTTAATGTGTGTCATGATTCATCACGGCAATTACTATATAGAGTTTCTTAACTCTCCCTGGTAATTAAAGCAGTAGTACAACTATGGTTCTTAAAGCATCCCACCAGACACTCGGAAGTCCTTGGTTCGAATCTTCGGCTGGCAGCCATCCAACATATGTTAGATGGCTTCCACATGCATTTTGTTCAAAAATGTATAAGCTGTTACAACTTTGAATACACGAGGTTTTCAAATTCGAGTATTCGAATGTTTCGAAACTATTTTGACACATTTTTGCTTAATTTTTAGATACCCTTTGTTGCAGTGTTGTTGTGCAGAAACATTATGTGTATGGCTTCAGTTTTAAAACAATAGTTTAAAAAAATAGCTATGTAAGAAAACTCATTTTCTCTAAAATAAACAAAATAAAACACTACTTATTTTTTTTTAATTTAACATATTATACCTGAAAAAAGATATTTTTGAACGGTACGATAATTAATATTTTTATAATTTAAAACCTTCTATTTATGACCCCAGTCATATATTTAGTTCATTTATATGAATTCATATTTAAATATGAATTTATAACAATATCTAAAATTTAACATTTTCTCTGAAACATAATAAATAATTTTGAAAAAAAAATATTTAAGGCAAATAAATAAAAAATGAGGCAATAACAATATCTAAAATTCAACATTTTTTCTGAAATATAATAAAAAAATTTGAAAAAAAAAAATATTTAAGGCAAATAAATGAAAAATGAGGCAAAGTAAAATGCACAAGTACTCAATTTTTTAATTTTTGAAACATATGTAAATAAAATATTCTGATAATCCAAACCAAAAAGTACTATTCTTTAGAGTGGGTTTTAAAAAATATTTTTTCACATTTACATAAAAAATTTTAAAATCTTAAATAAAGTTGAAGAAATCTTTTACTGTAGTTGCTTTGTACTTGCCGAGAAATCCATCATCATTACCAAATTATCTAAATTGTAAGTAATTAGCTGCTAATAGGGTACAATAAACTATTAATTAATAAATAGTATTATATTATATATTACATTATTAATAATAAAAATATTATAATTTGACATAAATATGAAAATGCATACATTAAAATTATAATTAATTACTTTTGAGCTTATTATATCCAATAAAAGGGATAAAATTTTCCCAAGTTACGTATTTTTAAATATAATGTTTATTTTTTTTTCTTACTGTTTTATGTTATCTTGGCCGATTTTAACAGATGAACTATTAATTCAAGTGAGAATACGAAGCCCTTATATTTCCCGTTATTTTTTTTAAATTTTGTAAAAGAATGATAAAACTAAGCCAAGCATCTTAACGAATTAAATCTTATGGAGGATATTTTAAAAAAGTAACTTACATTTGTGCAACATAAGTAAGAAATTTTGAACCTTTCGTACTGTTTGTCTACTAAAGAATTCCCTCGACAGTTTCCAGAGAATTGTTGTTGACCATATTTACAAATTTAAAATGTTTCAATTAGGTGTGTGCGGTAAATATTTAGAGCAAGTTTTAACGCTTTGGCGAGAGAGTTTTTCGAAAACTTTATTTCATTGAACGAACTTTAACAATTCTCTATCTACTTATTATTTCTGGTTGACGAGGGAGTTTTCAAAAGTTTAATTCTTTAAAATGATATTTTCTTTTTTCAACAATGGCAGATAAGCCCAAATTCAATAACGGAAGAAGTTTCTTTGATCCTACAGATTTGCACAGAGCCCGCTAACTGCCAGTATACTGCTATACTCTGTTGGGCAAGAACTGATAGTGGAAGTAAACATAAAGGGTTGAAGGCTATCGTCTACATTACCTACATTCGCCAGTTCCTCGCGGAGTCAGCTGTTCTTTTCATGTTCACCATTAGTCGGATTAGCAATGTTTTTAAAACTTATTGGTCAACCAGCTATGAGCCAAGTGTCAGATGGCACTGTTTCTTTTCACTATCAGTTCTCACAAAAGAGAGAATAGTTTCAAGCTAAAATCGGGAAACAATACAACAGATTCGAATATTGGATAAGGACCTCGGGATATTTTTGGCAATTAAATTCGAATAACATTTATATATCACTAAATATAATTCTAGAAAAAAACATGATATTAGAACTATTAAAATCCGAGCTTACGACATCATTAGTTGAATTCGACATAGTTGAATTTCGTATCTAACGGCATACAAAACTCTTTGCGAGCAGGGCGCCTTTAACACCAAGTATGCTGTAATAAGTTACAAAGCCTTCAACCTTACATCGCCAACAGTCAAGGTGAGGAATAATCTATGCGAAACAATAACCATCCTTTCAGTTTTTCAAGAAAGAGAAGAGCATCACCCTACAAACACACCTCATTTTTCCAAATAAAATGAGCATTCTCCTAGCTACTTAATCGCTAAGTTTCAGCCCATAGCAGCCCCATTACCACAAAGACTCTATTTGTGGACCTAATCCTGCTCTTCGGGGTCCGGTAGTTCTACAAATAACTATAAATCTTAGTAATTACATCTCTGAGCCATTAAAGCGTCGCATAGAGGCCTTTTGAGAAGTCAGTGAGAAAGATGGCGGTTGTATCATCAGAAAGGCCGACAAATCGTTCCATTGCGTGATATCTAACAAGAATGTTATGAAGTCACGCTATTCCAACTCCCCACGCCTTCCATTTGGTTTTATATACCTATTATCCGGCAGCAGGATCCAACCCCTTCCTACACCAGGACAAAGCCAAGATTAGACAAAAGGGATTATATTGTTTGGCACAGTTTCACCATGAAAAGTTTCTTTATTGTCTTCGAATGACAAGTGTAAAATTTATCAGAAATGGATGACGAAATACATTTTGTTGAGTAGGACATTTAATTTGAACGATATCATAAAATAATATGCATTGATAAAACTTTTTAATGCTGAAAAACATAATAGTGTTTATCAAATCTAGTTGATTCTTTACTTCAATCATTTTGTCCAAAATTTAATAAGTGTTTTCAAAATTTTGTACCGACTCCGAATTTTAATTCCGACTATTGAAATTTTAAAATTGATAGCTGTATTATTTACGTAAATTATTACTTGCGGTCTTGAAAAACTGAACAATGTTCTGTAAAAATATAAAAACCATGGTAATGAACAAACAAAATAAATAATTAAGAAATGAAGAAGGAATATAATGAAAAAGTAAAATAAATAATAATAAGAATACATTAATTAATGCCTTTATGGTGTAATTAATTCTGACTTACGGCTGAAAGTTTATTTGTTTGAAGATAAAATTTTAAA